TAACGAGGAGGGGAAAAAATGTCCCGTGTCTTCATGATGATGATGAAAGCGAGAAACTCACTTCTGCTCGGGCCACACAGCGTGAACGCCTTTGGCAAACTCCTGCGCCTGCTGTAGTCGGGCAGCTTGCTCTCCATCCAGATGCGTCGCAGTAGGGTGCGTAGGCGATGGCGCGGTTGATGGCACAGTCGCAGCCGCCCTTGAGGCGGAAATAGCCCTCGCGCGTGCGGGGCGCGTCCCAGTCGAAGAAAATATCGATGCCGAGGACGCCCTTGGCAACGGCGCGGGCCTCCGTGTTCGATTTGCCCTTGGCGGCGGCAAGGTAACGGGCGACGGCGGCCTCCTTGTCCGGTTGGGGACCGGCGCGGACGGCGGCGACGACGGCGTCATCGAAGCGCTGGAGGTTGGCCTTGGCGATCCACTCATCCTCGATGGTCTGGAGCTCGGCACCGGTCTTGCCAGCCTCCTGGGCGGCGTTCATGAGGTCGTTGAGGGGCTGGAGGCTGGGGTTCGTGCTGCCGAGGATGAAGGCGTGGTCGCGAGGGTCAATGGTGGTGGTGATGAGGGTGGCGGCCTCGGCGTCGGTGCGAGCAACGGCGACGAGGTCGGAACCCATGATATCCGCCTGGGCGCGGATGGCGACGAGGCGGTTGATGTGCTCGCTGATGGGCACGAGGACCTTGCCGGCCATGTGGCCGCACTTCTTGGTACCAGGGGCCTGGTCCTCAATGTGAATGCCAGCGGCGCCCTTCTCGACGAAGAGCTTGGTCAGCTTCATGACGGCCGTGAGGCCACCGTGACCGGTATCGGCATCGGCAATGATGGGACGGAGGTAGTCGACGTTGGCGAGCTGGGCGCGCGCAGACTTGGGGTGGGAGAGACGCTCCTGGCGCTGTTTGCGGTCGTGGAACAGCTGAGCCATGAAGAGATGGCCGACCTTGTTGGGAACGGTTGTCTGTACCATGTCAGCTTTGATTCAGACACGGCTACTGGCTGTTGGGGGGGGACTCACGTAGGGATAATCAGCCAGATCAGGGCCGGGCTCGTCAGAGGCCGAGGCGGTAGAGGACGACTGCCAGCCAGAGACGTAGACGGTGTCGAGGTACTTGGCCATCTGGGTCACCATGGTAGGCTCGAGACAGCCGTACGTGTAACTGGCGTCCTTGTTCTGGAAGCGGTTCTCGAGGATGTTCCACAGCTTTTTGGACTGGGCGTTTCCCGGGTACTCAATCTTGAGGTTGCCGCGCTTAGAGGCGATCTGCTCGGGGGTGAAGGCGCGCTTGGTGTGGCGCCATCTTGAGTCGCTCCACCACTGCTTAATCTGCTCGACCTCCTGGTTGAAGAGCTCGTCCTCGGTCTCTGGGTCCACAGCCGGGTTCACCATGTTGTTGGCAGCCATGATGGGGGAGGGGGGGGGGGGGGCTGCGTGTAAGAGAAGCGGGCAAGACGAGAAGAAGCTGAAGCTTCGTGGGAGCAGTCAATGGGCAGGTTAGGAGGAAAGAAGGATGCTATTCCCGAGTTTTCAAAGGTCACAAATGGCAGCAAGCACGAGAGTGGGAGGACGGATAGATAGATGGTTGAAAGAGGAGAAAGAAAGAAGAGTCATAGGCCCAAGCCGAGCCGGGAAAGTACCTAGGGGCTGGAGAAACGAGTCACAAGCCAGCAGAAGAGGCAGCAGCATCAGCAGCGAGGCCGGATACCAGAGGCGAAGACCAAACAATGACCGAAGGGCTGGCCGTTCCGTTCGGTAGTGCTCGGCCAAAGGGGACCTACCACCGGGCGCGGGACCCTGTCTCCAGATCCTAGAACGGGCCAAGGCAGGTATCGGGGTGGTGAATTCCAGAAGCAACAGAGCCGGAAGTATGCGGTACATGGCATGATGGGAATTGGCCAATGCCGTCCACAGCATCCATGGCGTCGTTTTGCCTCGGAAGTTGGGAAGAGGCTGAAGAGGCGTGGGTCGTCGGCCGGTTGTGGTCAAGGTACCATTGACCTCTGGCCTCTGGCCTCTGACCTTTCAGCTCTGACTCTTGGCCTCTGATCGGGGTGTCCCAAGCGCGGGCCATGTCTGAGGTTGTGGAGGGAGGGGGAGGGGAAAGCGAGGAGGAGGAGGAGGACCAGAGAGTCCATGGACGAGAGGGAGTGACGTCTACCTTTCCCAAGGTACCTAGCCTTGGGGGCTCGGCTCAAAGGCTGCCTCTTGCCTCTGCGTCGCCCATCCATCCATCTCTCCTTCCCTCGACCCCCAAATCCCCAGATTCCTGAGCCCGCCGCATTGCCGTCATTGGCCGAGGTACAGAAGCTCGGGCCTCCAACCAGTCGCCGATTCGGTAGAGCGCCCGTGCTGACAGCTCCTTTATACGCATACCTCCCTCTTTAAGGGGGCATAACTCGATGGTCGCATACCTTGCGGGGTACCTGCGCTCGAGTGATGTCAGGATCATGGCATGTGAAGATCACAGCGTCTTGGCCTGGCCGCCTTGGGCCGCCTTGGGACGCCTTGGGACCCGTGAGGTGAGCTGCATCGCCCCCCGCCCCCCCAAAACGAACCAGAAACATCCAACCCGCACCCGCCCTCCCCTCAAATCCGTCACTGCGATCCATGGCTAGCCAGACCGGCCTAGCTCGGCTCCAGCCAACAGTGAGTGCGTGCAGGCAGAGGAGGACTGCTTCGGTTTGCCCGCCCGGCTTCGCTTCGGGACTTGCTGGAGAGTTTCGGGACAGCGAGCCTCGGCCCCTTCCTCAGCTCACTGCGACTCTCTTCGTCGCGACGACCCGTTGTTTGCCGGTATCAGCGCCGGCACGCAATGCTCACACCACCGTGAATAATCACATGGATCACTGACTGGTTGATCTTGTCTTCCTGGTGCAGGCATTCAACGGGCCAGTCACTTGCTGCCGATGACCGGAGGAGAAGAACTCTGCTATCCCCCCTCCCCACCCCGTCTCGTGCTTGAATTTCATGATTTCTATTCCAGACTCACTGCCAGATCTACTTGTTTATCATCACCCTTCCCCACCTGCCACGGTTGTTCAGTTTCGTCCTCTACGCCTCGGCTCGCCATGCGTGTCGTCGTCGTCGTCGTCATCGTCGTGTAGTTTTCCAATGCGTCGCACCGCGTATCCTTGACAATGTCTCGTCAGTCGCCTAGCATCTCTTCCCATCTTCACCTGAAACCCAACCAGCATCACAAGTCCGAAGGACTTTGAACAAACAGTATGTGCTCACGTTTCCTCTCAAAAAGGGGCCGAGTTCAAGAAAGCTCTGCAAGGTGCTTCTCCTCCATCTGTTCGAGAGCCTTGACAAACGTGTCGTACGGCGTCAGTGTGCCGAGAGCACGTCGCATGTGGGCGTTGACAATCTGCAGCCCGTAGACGTAACTGGCGTTGACCCAGCCGAACCTAGATCCTGTCAGCAAAAATCCTCGTCTCTTCCGCGCTCCCTCTTGACCATGCAAGACTTACCCTTCCTTGGCAACTCCTTTGAAGTCTAGGCCCTGGTTGCCGTACTCAGCATCGACCCGGTGAGGATCGACGGGACGCGTGACGTCGTACTTTTCGACGACGACGCCGTTAAAGTCGACAAATGCCTTGGTGATCATGGAGAGCCATTTGTAGGCGAGACGCTCCGCGTCCTCGTGGAAGCTATACCGGAGCAGTCCCGTCCATGCCAGCATCTGCTGTGGAGCCCAGCCGTAGGGGTAGTCCCACTGCCGGTTGGGCCTCTCCAGCGAGATCTCGCCGCGAGACTCTTCCGTGCCCGAGACCAACCCGCCGTAGGCCTCAAACTTGGGCAACGCCTTGGCCACCATGTCTGCCGCCTGCTTGGGCGACGCAACACCAGCCCACAGCGACCACAATGTCGTGCAGCTCTCGTACACGCACTGCTGCTTCTTGACCGTGTCATAGTCGAAGAACATGCCCTCCTTTTCGTTCCAGAGATACTTGTCAATCGCCAGCTTTCTGCGCTTGGCTCGGCGATCCCAGACAGCTGACGACTCTACCGAGCCAGCCTTGAGAGGCCCAACCGCAAACTCGGCGGGGATGACGAGCTTGTCGCCGAAGACATTACGGATCGTGCGACCAATGTCCGTCTCATACTTGAAGAGGAGGGAGTTGAGATCGATGGTCGCCAAGTTTGCGCAGACCTTCTCCAGGCGGTACGACGTATCGTGGCCCGACTCGCGTACAGCGCGGTCGTGCATGAAGTACTCGTCAAGCTCCGGCTCCTTGACATCCTCGGCATTGTAGGCCTTGACAAATTCCTGCCATGTCATGCCGTGCTTCGCAGCGTAGGGCTCCAGCACGTGGACAAAATGGTCAGCCTCCGTCTCAGGAGGGACGCCTTTCCCCTCGGGTCGGTATCTGGAGAGACCAGTGACAGGATCAAGTCGCGGCTCGGCGACCCAGACACTGTGGTATTCTTTCATGGCAGCCAGCAGCGAAGTGCGGAGAAAGTCCTTGGCATCAGGTTCGTGCTTGATCTCTCGTAGACTCGGAGCGCCATGTCCGTAAGGAAAGGAGGCTGTGAGCGGCAGAGATAGTAGGAGCGGGTGGCGTTGAGAATTTTTCCATAGTGCTCAATGCAAAAGCAGAAGTTCAGGACGATGGACTTGGCCAGCTGAACCCTGTCGTTAACAAGGAGACCCAGGGACGTCATGTAGCTGTCCCAGCCGTAGAGCTCGTTGAACCGACCGCCAGGGACAACAAAAGGCAGACCTTTGAGGGTTTCCTCTCCTGTCTTCTCGTCCTTCACCTTTTCCATGGCCACAGCTAGGAGTCCAGGTTTGTCGTTCATCCCACGTACGAGTTCGGGCGTGATGACCTCGGGAAGAAGCTGGACATCGAGGTTGATCTCCGGTCGGTCCTTTGCAACCTGAAGGTAGAATTCATACTGTTCAGGAGCCCCAACCGGAACGTAGATCCTTGGGCGGGGGTTGTCGGTCCAGTCTTTGGGGTCTTTGGCAGCGATCTCCACGGTTGAGGCATCGATTCTGCGAGTCAGGCCATCCCAAAAGTGATCACTGACCATACGCGATAGGCGATTCACTGGGTTCTCGTTGAGGCGGCCTTCGTCGAGGATGATCTGTTCTCGTCCGTACTCTTTGGCAAGGACGAGCTCTTGCAGTAGATTAGACAACATATATGTGCCGCGAATGTCGAATTTGTTGTGGCCAGCCGAGCCCGCGGTGCGTAGCGTGATAACCTGTGACTTGTGGTCAGTGAAAAAGCCTTGGGAATGGCGGTGATGGCATCAGGCTGTGCGCACCTTGGGCCCTTCGTCTTCGATGGTGATCTGCATATTTCCGTCGGTATCCTCCTGTTCCTGGAGACTGTCCAAGGTCGACTGGACATTGACGAGGAAGCGCCGCCCGTGAGACGTCGAGGGTTCATCTGGTGATTCGAGATCAGCAAGGTTGTACGTAGAACAGGCCACACCGCCCCGTTCGTGTTCACGCACCGTGGCTCCCACGTCGGAAAGGCTCCTTCAACCCGATACGCTCCATTTGTGCCAGCAACCCATTCTGACGAGACTAGTCAGCTTCATGAGGCCCGATTATGGTCAGGAAGAGGGGCGACTCGCCTGAGAGTAGGTCCGCGTACGAGGGCCCGCCCGATTGTTGTGACGCTCAGAGGTGTAGTACGTCTTGGCATCGTCGAAGATGCCATGTTCGTCTGAACTGCCGCGGTTGCGGTGCCGACGGTTCGTAGGTGAACTCATGATGCTATCACGCACGCGAGAGCTCTGCGAGGGAGTCGAGTTGGCGGGCTGCGGGGTATGACGATAGTCGGGGCTCGAGCTTCTGGTCGTGACTCGAGGTCAGAGAGGTTGCTCGTGTGGAGTCCGTTTCAATTCCTATGATTCTTCGTGCTGGTTTCGCGATGGACGTCTTGTTTGTCTCCCCCACTTGTCAAATCGAAAGTTGTGTACGCAAGAGAAGGGAATTGATGTCAACGATGGAGGTTCGTGGGCGATTCGCTTTGGGGGAGTCGGGTCGAAGTGTCACGCGGTCTGAAAAGGCAAGGGACTGCTTCGAGTGGCAGCTGCTGTGTTTGGGAGGGGGGCAAAGCAAGGACCATGCCAAAAAATGGGGGTCACCAGGGATATTTTGGTCCGCGCGACGAGACCACAGCGATTGGAAACGATTTCCAGTCACTAATAGTCTGTACTTGTTGATATGAAATGCGGCTGTGATAAAAAAAAAATGAACCTTGCAAGCTGTCAGCCCTCTCCTACCTCGCGAGAAGAGAAAGTGGTACATGTAGGTACGGTATGCAAACGAAGGAGGACTGGCGGGCGTCACCTTCTTTCAGCGTGTGTGCCCATGGACAATCAAGTGACGATATGACGGGTCCACAGGGTCCAACCCCCGCCATCAATTGGACTACAATTAAAGAGCCCCCCTCGCCAGGATCCGAGCAGCTGGGTTGCTTAACCGCAATAGCTCGAGCGAAAAAAAAAAACGAACAGGCCATGATGAACAGAAGTTCTTCCCAAGCCCAGAAAAGACGTGGTCGGTCATTGAGCACCTTTGCTGATGGATCTCTCGCAGTCGCACGACCGCCGCGTCGTGCTATACTCAGCTTCACACTGCTTGGTGTGGACCGTCCCAAACAGAAGAGGAAAATGACCTCATGCTGAGTAGGCGACCCCCACACCTTGGCCTTCTGGCGAAACTGGGACCCCACCAGCCTTGCAAGCCTGCCACCACGGCGATCACCCGTGACTGCCGTCGTCACTGATGCCTTGCAAATTCCACTGCAGTCCTGATGCCCATTGCGACCCTGAATCGAGACCACCCTGAGTCGGACCCTGGTCCATCGAACACGGCTTTGCGATTGCATGAGGCCCACCATGAGCAGGCTCGTGACAAGCATTTGGCAAACCCAAAGACTGACTCGATACGCAGGTCCAGCCCTGGGACGCTATGGGGAAACCGATTCCACACAATGTCCGCTGATGAATTCTCCCACTTCACACGAACGGGCGCCGGACAAAGTCCCTTGCCGCGCTCGGAAACCTACACAGTACACCATGCGCCGATTTGCGCCTATCGAGACCACACTGAAGGTCTGGCGAAACCGTTGCAACAGTGACGCATCCCATCAACTTTAAAAAAACAAAATGGCAAACCACGTGAGCAGGCTGGGCGAAGGACGGGGGGTGTGTGTAGGCACTGGCTAGCACCCTCGGGGAGACTGACAAGTCGCCACGGTACTTTGCACCCAGATTTCTCACTAGGTCACTTTTCAGGGGCACCGACAGCGCGATACGAGTCTGCTGAACTGGCGTCACGAAGTCGGGACGAAGGCGCAGAGAGCGGCAGACTATGTGCTTGATGGCCTCCCATGGCACCTGTCTGATGTGTTCTATCGAGGGCTCTGTTACACCGGCGCCGCCACTAGAACGCTTTGACTACCCACAGAACCTTGGGGGGAGGGAATACATGTAGTCCGAGGGCATGTACATGTGCTCCAAGTGGACTTTCAGCAGCAGCACCAGCTAGAAGCCTGAGCGTGGAGTGTGGAAACCTTCAGCTTCCTCCCTTGGGTCTGTCTCCTAGAAGACTTCTGGAAAAGGGTCCCTGACTTCGCGCCACATGGCGAGTCAGCCAGTGGCGGCATTCTTCGTGGCAGCTTCCATCGTTGACTTTCGCGCTAGACGTAGCCCTCACAAACATGATGGAGCTTAATGAAACAATTCGACTCTGGTTACGTCAAGTCGAAAGTTTGGTCCATCACTTGGCATTTCGCCGCGACGCCGTTGCACCCGGCAGTGGACGACAAACGGCGACGCAAGAGGGAACTTTTGCTATTTTCAGGTAACCTCCGACATGATTTTGATCCGCCACGGCATCGCCACCCGCCAGTGGTTTCGAGATAAGACACATGTCGTCTTGAAGCAAAGCTCCTTTCGGCTTTCAATCTCGATCAGGAGCTGATCTGACCCCCATGGCTGTTGGCCCTGTAAGTGCACGGCCCATGGAACATTCACCGTCATGGCTTTCATAGTAACAACCCAAGGGACTGATCGTATTCTCAACAATAGCGTCGGATCGGGGTTCGATCCTCGAAAGGGGGTGGGTGACGGCGATAAGATCTACCAGGCCTCCTGCACAACTGGCCCTGCCGCCGGTCCCGAAGCTGACGTCCGTGTCGAAAGAAAAAGAGAAGAAAAAAGAGCGGTGAGTGGGTTTGAAAGCAGCTGATGAGCTAGAAGCCTGAGAGTTCGTTGAAAACGCCAACCGACTTGCATAGCTTGATCCATTGAAAATTAAGGTTTGTAACTTACTGGGCGGGATGCCGCAAGTTCGTCACGTACCTCGCGAGTCGGGAAGGGGGGGGGGGGTGTCCATACTTTCTTTGCCTGCCGGCTCCTTAGAGCACAGGCACAGGGTTTCTGGTTATGTGGACTCCGAGTCAAGCAAAGGACAAAAGTGACAGGGTGATGAGGCGGCCAAAGGAAACCCCACGCAAGCATGCCAGCCCCCCTGACCCCCCTTAGACACTAAGCACGGCCTCGATCCCGCGTCCCATCGGATGCATGACTCCGGGCCAGGGACTCTGAAGAGGTGGGTTGTGGGTTGATTGAATCGCCGTCTTTTGCTGTCGGCTGCGGAATAAATGCGTCCATAGTGCTGGGAGCGGGACGACAGGGAAGAGTGGTTCATGTCGGTGAATCTGAGCTCCGGGCGCTGTCCCATGTCTTGACCCGGACCCTGATGATCTATGGCAGACGGTGAAGCGGAAGATGAGGGCTAATTAGCGGACCGGTCGTGTTCTTGCTCCTCTTTCCTAATCAGGAACTCAACGCCGTCCAAGGTTTGATGCTATCACTCTTGCGCCGGCCGACTTCCGGCCCTCCATAGCTGACAAAGGCGACATCCTGCCATCTACCTGAACCTGTGAAATTGGTAAATCCTGACACGGGTTCTTCGGGTCTCGGTGGGGTGTTCACAAGACGCCGCCCGCCAACAGCTTTTGTCCTGGACCTTCGGAATACCGGACATCGGGAAATCGTAACTCTTAGGAAACTCTGTTTTCTCGCGACAGGCCCGACTGATTTGCTAGAGTACGTGTACGAACATTCCGCTCGGGGTGGCATGTCCGTACACGGTACAACTTCCTGTGGTGCACCGGTCACAGAATAGCGGAACATGTTTGACGTTGTCCAAGCTCTTATAGATGGCATGCAGGTGCAGACGGCAAGCGGCAAGCGGTAAGCGGCAGATGTCAAGCGTGAGGCGAGATGTCGGCACTCATCCCCGTGTAGTCGATTGGGATGAGGGTGGTCTAGTGTGTCCCTGCCTACCTAGACAACCTACATGGTAACCCATTGACCAGCAGGTCTTAGCCACCTCCTTGAAGACCTGACAGGGAGGACACGTGGCATGGTGATGCTCAGAGCCGAGGTTTTGCCAGACAGATTCTCAGAACTGCGGCGCGCTTGTGGCGCGCTTAGCGTATGCTGGTAGCGATCATTTGTTATCGCAATCAGCCCTGGACGCACGTAGCACCCTATGGCACCTGCTGGCCCGGGACCATACGAACGTATGATTTCATTGAGGCAATCGCATGCTCGAGAAAGTGGTGGCCAAAATTTTCCCCATCGTCGGCGTCAAGGCAACAACTATCGACTTCCGTCCATAGCCACGTTCAACAGAAACCGACATTGCATTGCGTCGCGCCGCCTGGCTTGAATTTGCATCGCCAAATCGGAATTGTCGGCAGTCGCGGCGCGTCTACGAGTCCGACAAGCCCCAAGGGAGTCCGAGGCTCAAGCCCTGCTTCCGTATCCCCAGTATCTCCGAAGTAGCTTGCCACTCCACCCGAACGACACTTTGCCACACCGAAGTGTCCGCCCTGGTATCAGAATACATTTGCACTCGACGGAACGCACGCGCTCTTTCCGATATCTCGAGTGTTCCTCAACACGGTGGTCACAAATCAACGATCGAACCTCCATCGATCATTATAATGTGGGGGACAGTAATGCGCGCAGCGCCGGCGTCGCGTCAAACCTTCTCGGCCCAGGGTCAGACGTTCTGGAGGACAGCATGGCAACGCCAATACGTGGCTAGCAGGGCGCATTTGCAAACCTCAAGAGCCGGGATCAGAACCTTTGGGGGCAGTCGACGAATGCCCGAGTCATCACCGGCTGGCCGCATGAGCACCATGTTTCGCACATGGCACCGGTCCTTTCGGTTCTCAGCCATGAGGGGTAGCGAGAAGGCTGCCGGAGCAGCAGAAAAGCCTCTATCTTTGAGCCAGAGGTTGAAGAAGCTATCTAAGGAATACGGATGGAGCGCAGTCGGTGTCTACTTTGCTCTTAGCGTCCTCGACTTCCCGTTCTGCTTCTTGCTGGTTCGAATTGTCGGCACTGATAGGATAGGTCTGCAAACCTCTTGAAGATCGTTTTGACAAGAGGCTAACGTTGGTTACTTGACAGGTCAGCTCGAGCACTGGGTCATGTCCTGGGTCAAAAAGGCGATCCCAGATTGGGTCGAGGCCTGGTGGCACGAGTACCGGGCCGCCTTGAAGGGGGTTGAAAAAGAGCAGCTCGGTACCGACGTGGTGAGCGAGTCGGTCGAGATGGCCGGCTGGGGAGTGGCTGAAGCGGAGGAGCACAACCGCGCCGAAGCCAGTAAGTTCTGTCCGTTTCGAGCTCTGGTTCTGTTCCGAGGAGACAACTCACCAACTCTCACTTCCTAGGCTTAGGCACACAGCTTGCTCTGGCATACGCCATCCACAAGAGCTTCATCTTTCTTCGGGTACCCCTGACTGCAGCTGTGACGCCCAAGATTGTCAAGAAGCTGAGAGCCTGGGGGTGGGAATATTGGCAAACGACAAACAAAAGCCTGATGGGATTGGCCGAGTAACTTGCGGAGTACTACAGTAGAGACAGGGGTTGGAGGACGACATAGACGAAACGAGAACCTTAGAGTCCCCTACCTCAAGATGGGCCTCCGCCCCATGTAACAAATTTGTCGGATTAATGTACATAGTACGGATAGCACACCTTGTAGCTTTGAGTTTTCGGATGTGGTCTGTCGCGTTCCAGCACATCGGTCATGACTAGCATGTCGAGAAGGCATCACCGCAAATGTAATGTTGCCATCCTTGAATACATAGTATTCCACCCGCGATACTAGTCATGAAAGATATCGATTCTCTCACGTGCGTCATGCGGCAGTGGACCGACGATGGGGGTCCAGCCGGGCCCGAGTCGGACTTGAGTCGGTCAAGCGGATGACATAGCTTTAGGTAAGGCAACACAGAGAAAGGAGAAGGGGGGGAGAGGGTCAGGGCCACCCTCGTTCTCGGCGTCATTCAAGTGGCTCCCGGTATTGCGTGATATCAACGGGCTGTGATAGAGATTCTCCGGGTGAGTGTTCTTGAAAATCAATGGTGGCATCACAGTAGCCATGCCTTTGGTGCTGGCTGGACATTGCCAAACAACCGCGTCAGGCTACAGAGGACGCTACTCCCGCATGCTCAGCTCCCGTGCTCGACTTTTCTCACAAGAGACGACGGCCACAAGTCCGGCGCGGTCAGAAGGCTGGTTTCACGCCTGAGTGGGTTTAGGTGGATGAAACTAGAAGAACGGCGGTAGAACGACCGCTCCCGCCACGCCATCGATTGTTATGTGCCCAGGTACATTCAGCTAGTCCGCAGCTACCGTGTTGAGTCCCTGAACTAAATGGTCGACCGGACCAAGGTGACAGGCGGACGGAAGGAATACTGGTGGTGGGCGGATCTTTCGGTGGTCTGTGGTGGCATCGTGATCGGTGATGGATTG